TTTTTACTCCCATGGCACATCACATTTGGTAACACTAATATGGTAGATTTAGATAACACTTAAATCATGATTATGAATGTTTAATTGAATATTTTCCTTTCTGTAGCTGTGAAATGTAAAGCTTAGATTTGCTTCCATCAGGCCTCTTAAACCAAACTTCATCATGGTTAATTGTTGTAATTACGGCACTAAAAAGGATTGGGGGGAAAAAGGAATGAATGAGTGAATCACAATATTCTTCCTCTACTTGTTTCAAGTACTAGCTATACAATCAAAATAACTGGACGATAAGAACAGATTCAGGTACACAACTGTCTTTTACCAGAATACTGACAATCACTTGTCATTTTGTCAAAATAGCATAGTTAGCAACACCTAATAGATCATTTTCTTTCCTTTTCTAATAGTTGGTGAGATTTATTATTAGAACTATTAAATAAATATACATTGTTCCTACTCAATCTCCACTTTACCTCTCACCCCCCCCCCAAAAAAAAAGAGTGGAACCAAAAACACTACTTATATGGTATTACACCTCCAACTCATATCAGTCTTGACTGTAGAAAATCTTTCAAATACTAGTCCCTAATTCCCAGTGTACAGATTTTTTTGGACACTACTCATCTCAATATAGAAATCTTTTTAAAAATAGATTTTTGTCTCCTCTGCTATTTCATCTTTTAAACCACATTTATACTAAGTAATAGTAAATGTTTCCAAAGTAATAAGAGAAAGCCAAGAATCCAGGGGTATCATCTAGTAACCTAGTAATCAGCTTAATGAGCTTCTGAGAGAAGTTTCTATACATAATGCTTCTGGTATCCTAAAAATTTAAAGATGAAATTACAATCCAATTAAAACCACTGATTTGGAAAATGAATATTCTATACTAAATGCAAGTTGAATATTCTATACTTTACTTACCACTGAAATCTAGAAAGATATTTTCTTAATGTTAGATGGTTACTACTCTGAGAATTATATCTTTAACTACTGAAGGAATTAAAGCAGTAATTAGTATTAATATTTTTGAAAGGCCACAACCAGATAAAACTTAGAAGGCTATGTAAGTAATTATATAAACTTTATTTAAGCCTAGACAGATGAAGTATTTTAAAACACTACTTTGAGTTTTCAAGTTATACTTTAATTACTGTTACTCTTAAAGTTTTCATGAGTTTTTCATTCCTTTCCTACTTTAATTGATCCAAATTCTTCTTATCCAAAATGCTGTCACACACCAAAAAGAAAGGGGAGGACTGATAGGCCCACACATTGTGGAAGCACACTGTCAAATTCACAATTCTCTGATTTAAAGGTCATCTACTATAAGAATTAACAAATAGCATCCCTTACCTAACTAAATAATTCCAAGATTTCCACTTATGCTAATGCTTGTGTTCATGCAACTCTTATATATAAAGAGTAGTACACACATGTTAATCAAATCATATGTTAAGAGAAAGAAAGGATCCACAGGCAATTAATTATGTGTATACTATGGAGGAGCAAATATTATCAATGCTGTAAACACTGAAATGATAAAGGCATTTTACCTTGTAGGACATTCATCTTTTCTGTCAATACATATTGTTTGTCCACGAATATACCATTCGCCATTGTAATATAATCTTCCCTCTTCAGATCTAGCACTGTGCAGATGTTTTTCCAGTTTCACAGGTGCTAAGGGGATCAGTTCAAAAACTGTTATATTAATAAGGCACTGTCAGAACAAAAGTGCAGAACATTAAGAATTAACACCAGTCCATGCATATAATATGTGAGAAAAAAACACACACTAAAAGTGTTTCTTATGTAACAAACCTAAATCTAATAGAAATAAGAAATTTTAATTTTTTACTTTTTAAATATAATTCACAAAATTGTCAATGTAAGTATTAAACAAAGCTAAATAATGTACACTAAATCATCGATTAACTAGGCAAGTGCTAGAAGGGAAAGCAGAACACTACCAATTACTAAGGCCAATAATAGGAGTTAAAATATCAATCACCATGTTTCCATTGAAAATTATATTTTTCATATTTTCTCCCAAGCAGCTGACAATTCCAAAGAAAAAGAGTTTATTAGTTATTCCAAGAGTTTCCCAGACCTTTGATCCTAAAAGGGAAATGTCCTAAGTAGAACTTCCTTTTTTTTATGTCCTAGAAATGATTTGGCATTAATCAGGTAAACTCAGGCAGAGAAAAATGTTCTTTATAAAAGAACACTGTCAAGAGTATACTATGATGCCGAAACCGGTTTGGCTCAGTGGTAGAGCGTCGGTCTGCGGACTGAAAGGTCCCGGGTTCGATTCCGGTCAAGGGCATGTACGTTGGCTGCGGGCACATCCCCGGGTAGGGGATGTGTAGGAGGAGGCTGGTCGATGTTTCTCTCTCATCGATGTTTCTGGCTCTCTATCTCCCTCCCTTCCTCTCTGTAAAAAATCAATAAAAATATATTTTTTTAAAAAAAGAGTATACTATGAAGTAGATACCTCTTTCTCATTTAAACGTCACCACCTCAGCAAAGTATTTTCCAACCACCTTAACTCCTCAGTTAATCTTCATCACAACATTATATTTTCTTCATAGCAATTATTACAATTTATCATTATGTTATTTATTTTCATAAATATTATTCTTCCTCCCCCAACAAATTCCTGGGTGTCTTTCTCTTATATCATTGTATTCCCAGAGCCTAAATAGTGACTCATATGCAGAAGGTGTTCAATAAGTATTCAGTCACTCACTCATTCATTTGTTTGTTCATTCATTCAACAAAATGTTTTCTAAGCACTGTGACTAAAAGAAAGATGATTCTGACCTTTGTGAAGCTTACAATCCTGTCAGGAAACAGATAAACATGTAAACAATAAATAAAAAATTACAAATTGTGGTAAGTGCCATGAAGAAAACAAACAGGGCACAATGCTACAGACAACAGAAATGGTGAGGAGCCCCAAGCAATAGTGTAGTAAGATCCTCAAAGGAATTCACAACTCAAAATGTTAACCACCTAGAGATTTAGAGAGTTACCCTGCCAGTTAATTTCTAAGGGAAGCATTTTAATATAGTATTGCCACAATTTCATGACCTACTAATAAAGTTTAAAGATTAATCCTTGGTTAAATATAAAATAGAATTTGAGCTCTTACAAGTTATTTTATCTGCTGTAATGTACTTTTTAGTATTTAAAACATGTATTTTAAAAACCTAGCTTCACTGTTCTTACAAGAATTAGAAATTTCATATACAGTGAAAGAAGGCATGAAAGAGAGTTATCCTAGACAACAATGTCCATCGCTACTTTGGCAGTGATTTTTTTAGAGTAATTTGTGTTTTATTAATATGACTTTAAATGTGGTGAACAATGTACAATAACATAATAGCATTTTTTTCTTAACAACTTCAGTTTCCTCTGGAGTTAAAACACTGCTTCTTGGGGTACTGGTATGATATGCTGATTGCTTAATTTTTTTAAAAAATATATTTTATTGATTTTGTACAGAGAGGAATGGAGAGAGATAGATAGAAACATTGATGAGAGAGAGTCATCGATCAGCTGCCTCCTGCACACCCCCTACTGGGGATATGCCTGCAACTAAGGTACATGCCCTTGACTGGAATCGAACTCGGGACCCTTCAGTCCCCAAGCCGATGCTCTATCCATTGAGCCAAACCGGTTTTGGCTGATTGCTTAATTTTTTATAATGTACCTATCACTAATTCATGTCCAGACTCTCCATAAGAAATATGTGAATTACAGTAATACACTCAAACATGTGAGGCAATCCGTATTTGTGTGTGTTTTGTTTTTCTTGAAAACACCTCTCCTGAAGGAATCTACAAAAAGCGGGCATTCTGCCATGATCAGGGTTTGTGCAAACTGACACTCTGGGATCCCCTTTCACACCACGAGAACATCCTCCGACTCGTGTGCGGGACCTCCTGCTTCCTGGCCGTCACATTTCCTCATTTCCTCCTTTGCTTGGTAAAACATCCTGACTCGGAGAGCCAATTGGACTTTGATTTGAGAAAGTTGAAAATGAAGAGAAACTACTACGCACTGCCTGAGTTCTAAGGAATCATAATAAAAACTGACAATTCAAACATTTCCCTGGGTGCACACAGGTGAGCTGGTCCTCTGCGCAGGGCCGCACAAGGCTGCACTGCAGGTGCTGGTCAGGGCTGGAGGCCCTGGGTCCTCTTCTAGGCACATGGTTGCTGTTGGAACTCATTTCTTGTGGTTGCTGGATTCAGACCTCAACTCGGCAGTGATTTTCAGACTTTTAAAGAAAGTTAAAAAAGTGTAATTGGATATAAATTCTACTAAGGTATATCAGATGTGTAAATCTTAGTGGTGTGTGAATTTTTCTGATGGGTTACATTGCTAGCACTCTAATTTCTCTCCCAGAAAATGCAGGCACAGAAGAAATATTGCCCACAATTCCTCAGGATTCTCATGGACTCCAAACACCTCCCTTTTAGAATTACTGGGCCCATAAAAAAAATTTGTTTTAAAGACTACATAAATACTTTTAAAATTACTGATCCACTATTACCAATAGTGATGTAGCTGAAACACTGAAAGAAGAAAGGCATTTCATTCACAAATCTTGAAACTTTTTTCTGAGGCGAAGGCTCCAGAGGATTCCTCATCATTTCGGGGATAGTGTGTACTGATGAAATGAAACCACTGACGGGGAAGCTCTTTTGTACGTAGATGATTTAACCCTGATTCAACAGTCTCCATAAAGATTTCTGAGCTCAGACTAATGACTTACGTTCTGTTTTCACTCTGTGTGGACCCAGTGTAGCCATCGCCTAATTGAGGGAAAAAGGAAGACGTTGTCTGAGTCCACAAAGTACACTCTGGTATCTATTTAACATATACAGTGACCACTGCTATTTAAGCTCAATAACAAGAGCTGAAATATAATCTTCAGCTCTTCTAATAAGCTGTTAATGTCTAAGACCATAAAGAATATATATGAGCCCTACCCAGGAAGCTCGGTTGGTTAGAACATGGTCTGATAGGCCAAGGTTTGCAGGTTTGAATCCCAGTCAGGGCACATACAAGAATCAACCAATAAATGCATAATAAGTGGAACATGTTGATATCTCTCTCTCTAAAAATCAGTAAATAAAAACAGTTTTAGCCCTGGTTGGTATGGCCCAGTTGTTTGGAGTGTGGTCACATACACCAAAAAGTGGTGAGTTTGATTTCTGGTTAGGGCACATACCCTGGTTGAGGGTTTGATCCCTAGTCGGAGTGTGTGCAGGAGACAACCAATCAAAGTTTCTCTCTCACATCAATGTTTCTCTTTCTCTCTCTAAAAAATTTTTTTTTAAGTTTTTAAATATATATATATATATATATATATATATTTGTGTGTGTGTGTATGTATGTATGTGTATGCATACACACACACACACATATATATCCCCTTTGGGAAGTATTATTATTATTTTTTTTAATATATTTTTTTGATTTTTTACAGAGAGGAAGAGAGAGAGCTAGAGAGCTAGAAACATTGATGAGAGAGAAACATCGACCAGCTGCCTCTTGCACACCCCCTACCGGGGATGTGCTCACAACCAACGTACATGCCCTTGACTGGAATCGAACCCGGGACCTTTCAGTCCGCAGACTGATGTTCTACCACCGAGCCAAACCGGTTTCAGCGCGAAGTATTATTAATACCTGAAATAATCTCTCATTTTTAACTAAAAAATTTCTAAAAATGGAAAACAAAACCTTCACTTTCAAACAAGCACAGAAAATCCTAGAATTCTTGAATCTCTGATAACAAAATGCAAAACATATAATAAAGGTTGAAATTTTCATTTTCTTTCATTCAATAAATATTTATTGAGTGCCTTCTGTGAGCCAGGACCAGGCTAAGAACTGGGCACAAAATGGTTATTTATTATTACTTTGGGTCAACCTAAATAAACGCTTTTCTGTACTTTTACATAAATTATTAATTACATTATTACAAGAAAAAAAACATGTTAACATGTTTCTCAAATTACTCCTTCAATTCACTGTTATCTTTATTAGTGTTAATTGCCAAAGTATATTTATAATAATCCTATTTTAATGTACTAGTGAGAAACCATAGAATTTTAAAAAGTAAACTAGAAAAATATACATTGTTTGTTAATCATACCTTCCGAATTGTTGTCCAGTCTTCAAGAATATCAAGGTCTTGTAGCATATAAACTATATATGGACGTTGAAAAGTCAAGGACATTTTAACTGTAAGAATTTCACATTGTGAATTATACTTTCAAACTGCTGATTTTCCAAAGAATAGAATGATGATTTCTGGACATAATCCCTTGGCATGCTGATTTCTGACTTCAATTATTCTTCAAAAACCTTAGTACCAGGGTAAATGTATCACAATACTTCAGATGTTATTAACCATATTCTCTTAATTCTACATATATTGTCAGATATAGCACCAACTTAGTCACTGTTTTGAAATGGGGGAAAAGGGTAGGGTACCCTAAGGAATGCCAAGATTGCATACACATATTAATTTAATTTAAAAACACTCCACATTGAGAAACATTAAAACATGTTAAAAAGCACACAAGAATTATGTAATTGTGCTACATACTAAATAGCTATATCACATCAAAGTTTTTGTGAACTATAAAGCCATGTTAATTTTTGAAGTTGAGATTGTAACTAAATTTCTGTTCCTCCCGTCCCTCTTAATCTAAATTATATTCTTATACCTTTATTTTATTTTATTTTTTTAAAAATATATTTTATTGATTTTTTACAGAGAGGAAGGGAGAGAGTTAGAGAGCTAGAAACGTCGATGAGAAACATCGACCAGCTGCCTCTTGCACACCCCCTACCAGGGATGTGCCCGCAACCAATGTACATGCCCTTGACCGGAATCGAACCTGGGACCTTTCAGTCCGCAGACCGACGCTCTACTGCTGAGCCAAACCGGTTTCGGCTATATTCTTATACCTTTAATCAGTTTTATAAATTATCTTTTGCTTATTACAGATCTTGTAAACAAAGACAGTGTATACTAATAAAAGTTATAAAGGTATGTACAGTGCTAAAGTATTTATAAGGCAACACCCACCACCACAACAAAACCAAGGGAATTTGGAAAAGGATATCAGAAACAACAACTGGCTTCTTTTTGTCAGGACTGAAAGGATCCTTCCTCTTTTTTCTTGACTGAAGCTCATCGTTCCACAGCTCTGACAAGTAAATAAAAATTAAGTATTAGCTGATTTCTGAAGACCAAAGGAGGAAAAAGAGACTATAATTTCAAGGTATCAAATTTCATTGGCAGTTATGTATATGTGTGTTGATAGGTGACTACAAGAATTTCATGAGCAACTATATATTTATGAAATTTTATCTGCTTTTATTGAAGTAAAAATCAACTTGATCTTAATAACTAATAATTGGTCAACATATATCAGACATTTTGTTAAATATACATGAATTGTCTCAACTAACCCTCAAAGCTATCTCTGAGGAAGGTCTTCTCATTGTTTCAGTTTTATAGACGAAAAGACCAATTAAAAAAGCTAACGTGGCTATCACCATGGTCACTCTTGACTAGCAGGTAATAAAGCAGTGGCATTAAGCTCAGCTTGTCTGGTTCTACTATGTCTACTCTATATAAAGAAACAGAATTTATAAAAAATAAAATAATACATATGCAAGAATTGTAGGACAACCCAGTAAGTAATCCATTTAGTGGAAAAAGCCTTTCCACAATACCCCTGAAAAAGTCAAGTTCTATTGGACTGAGATAATTATTAGCAAGTTTTTCCTTTATCTGAGACACAAATCTGCTTCCTTGTCACTTCTATCCATTTGTCCTAGTTTGTGTGGTAAGAGGTTTTTATTCCTTCTTCCACATGACAATCTTTCAAAACTTAGCTGTCTTCAAAGCCTACTCCTATTATCTTCCAATACTGCTCTCATAAAATAATTTCTTGCCCTGACCAATAGCTCAGTTGGTTAGAGTATCATCCCGATATGCCAAACTTGTGAGTTCGATTCCTGGTCAGGGCACATAAAAGCAGCAACCAATGATTGCATAAATAAGCAAAACAACAAAATCAATGTTTCTCTATCTGGGTTTCTCTTTCTCCCTTCCTCTCTCTCTCTCCCTAAAAACAAACAAATAAATAAATAAATAAATAATCCATAACTAATTTTATAAAAAAAAATATATTCTTATAGTATAGTATTCTTATTCTTATAGTGCCTGTCAGACTTCTATTTTGTCCCTTTTCATGTGCTCCATTTTCTACATCTTTCTTAAGTCTGAGTTCAACTCAAAGGAACAATCAGAATCTTACTGATTGTTTAGAAGTCTCCCCTCTCCCTTCTCATTAGAACACTTCTTTTACTAACATTTACATAGGAGAGGCAAACCGCATGGCTGCAAGAGCGGAGCCCCTTGCACAAATTTCGTGCACCGGGCCTCTAGTGAGACATAATAAGTCAAAGGTTCGGTGTCACCTAAACTAGACATCACAGCCACATCATTCCCATTACCTGAGGTAATATCAATGCTGTGCCTGTCCTCTTCAAGCCTTCTTATCTTCTCCTCTAGTTCACTCTGGACTGTATCATATAACAAAAGCTTTTCACTCTAAAAAAAAAAAATTGCACCTAAGTAGAAAGGAAAAATTGGTCTATCTTAACTCAGAGTACTAAATAACTTATTCTCAAAATACTTTAACAAATGATGCTTTTGTTTGCTTTCTTATTCCAACTTAAGTCTTTTAAAGATGAAAAGTCAAAATATGAAAGAAATAAAACCAGAAAATACATGCAATTAAATTGCTTAAGGACATCTAAATTTGTATGTGATAATTAAATAAGTTATTTACTTTATAAGAAACTCATAATAAGCTCCATGTCTCCTCTTAAAGGCAGGTCCTACCTGTCACAATAATGGAGAACCTGTCCAATAAAGTATAACTTTCTAAAATGGATCATATTTTGCCGAGACCGGGTTGGCTCAATGGATAGAGCGTCGGCTTGGGGACTGAAGGGTCCCGGGTTCGATTCCGGTCAAGGGCATGTACCTTGGTTGTGGGCACATCCCCAGTAGGGGGTGTGCAAGAGGCAGGTGATCGATGATTCTCTCTCATCGATGTTTCTAACTCTCTATCTCTCTCCCTTTTCTCTGTTCAAAATCAATAAAATATATTTTTAAAAATAAATAAATAAATAAATAAATAAATAAAATAGATCATATTTCCTCACTGGAACAGTAATTGGGCCTTTATTCCTCACTAATATCTCAGCATAATATTAAAAAAGACTAATATATCACAGAGAGAAAGATTCAAGTACAAATTTTATAATACTTCAATTACAGTCAAGATTATGAAATTATAGACTTAACTATATCCAAATCTTGAAAGAAAACTCTATGGAAAGACTGAGTGACTTGCTACAAGAGGCAAGGCTATTTACTGGCAAATCAGATTAGAACCCAGGTCTCCTAGTTCTAGTCCATTGTTGTTTTATACAGCACTGTACCCCTTATCTGAAAAGCTATAATGAACATATTTTTAGATTCATTATATTATGACACATTCCCCAGCCACTCACCACATGCTTATTACTAGTAAGGATATTAGGCTATTGGGATATAACTACATGATTATTTTATAGAAGCTACTGGAATATAGTTAGCTATGATTTCCTGTGGAAGGCATAGGATACACCCAGGTGGACAGCATTGCCAGTGTCAATCGTAAATTCCTCTCTTTCAAGTTTGAAATTTAGAGTCTACACATGCTTGAAGATTCTCCTGAGTGATAAGGATGACTTTTGTGAATTTGAGGGAAACCAGGACTCCCCAGTCCTGGGAGATTTTTGAAGGACTAACATTACCAGAGAATAAAACATATTATAAGGCTTTCATCATTTTTTAAAAGTATACTGCACTGCAATAAAAAGATAAACAGAATAGTCTTGGCTGGTTGTGGCTCAATTGGTTGGGCACCGTTAGTAGGAAAGCAAAGCTGAAGATAACAAAAACTAGACCTCATATGAAAAATGATCTCATGGCAGTAAACTCTGTTTACTTCCTTTTACTT